GTATTTTCTCAAGTTCCATTCCAATACCGCTCGTTGTTCCCTCGCATGTCGATACGCTATCTCATCCCCGTTGATTTTGTGAATGATGGAGCAGTTTGTCTACTATTGGTGCTTTGACAAACGGAATTTTACGAAATAATATGGAACATTTCAGCAAAAGTCTTGGCAGTTTCAACGATGTGTAACTACTACATGAGTTATCCTACATTTTGGATGAATTGATTTGTTTATTCTTGCCAGAACAATCAATCATTTGCATGCAGCCTTGACCTATCTGTATGAGTGTACATGCGTGTTCATCGCTTATCGTTTCAATATACTCTCTAACCCGTTTCTGTCTGGCTATAAAGAATTAGTCAAGCTCTATCAAATGGAGTTGGTGCGCTTGCCTTCACTATTTTTTTGTCTTCCTGCTCCTTGTTTACATAAAGGACTTAATGAAGTGAGCTCATTAAGTTGATTCTTTTTATTGCAGACGAGGATTTAGAAGGAAGATTTATATCCACGGCCCGTTGGACATTTTATTAAAATCTGTGTCACGTTGTGAGAAACTGAATCTATCTTGATAACTTATTTAATTGTTTAACTTCCAATCTGAGTTCGATACCAAGTTTATTTCCAGCAACCATTACAAATGCTTCAGCTATTTTATTTGTAAGATGTGGACAATAGTGATAGATTTTTTCAACAAGTTTTACAACACAGCCTGAATTAAATCACTTAAAACATATTACAGACCTAGAAGAGCTGCACATCACAAAAGAGTCCAGGTTCGATGGTAGAGAACCGATCGGAAGATCTAGCAGTTTAATCTAGGACGAGGTTTTCGTTGATTACTAGCCACATTCCATCTAAGCTATGTAAACTTGCTGTAATTAATATTTAGAGGTAATCCACATTGGATACTCATTAACCAACCAAGACATGGTAATTTGGTGCAAATATTAACCATAACATTTCAAGAGGAATTAAATGGACAGTGATATTTTAAACCACGCACTTGATAGAGGAAATGTGGAAACCTTTACATTTCTGGGCAGCATTATTGACAAACACCAAGGATCTGATGCACATTTGAAGACAAATTACCTAAGTAAGGGCAGCAATTAAAGAATAGATAGAACTCAAAGCGACTAAAAATCAAAAACAAAATCAGAATTTTCGATATCACTTTGAAGACAGTTCTGTTGTATGGATTGTAAAGTTGGAGAACCTCGAAAGCTGTCATCCACAACATACGGTTGTTTATTATCCGTTGTCCACATAATGTATTTCAAATTCCTTGGTCTTACACCATCAGTGACAACATAATGTGTCAGAGACCAAAAGAGATGCCAGTATAGGAAGAAATTAGGAAAAGATGCAGCAGGTGGATAAGGCACACACTGTAGAAAACACACAGAAGTATCATGAAGCAGGCAACTGGGAGCGGCTGAGAAGGAAGACCATCGTAAATTCTGGTTAGTAGACTTTGTTCCTTTAGCGCTAACAAGCACAAAGAAGTGAGTGAGCTTATGATGGGAAAACATGGTGATACAGAGATCATATGTTTGTGGGGTACGAATAATTTTTGCTTCCTGCTACTTATGCTGAACATGGATGTGACTAAACCATGGTATTTATGTTAATTTCCTATGGCTACGACTCTTTGGAATTATAATTGTAATCTTGCAAAGGTTTCACTTCCGGCGTGAAATCATAAGCCCCTCATGATATCAACATCACTCTTTTCGGGGTAACCAAGGTCATATTGTGCATCGACCAACAAAAAAGGAATTTCATTCTCTTTTCTTCTGACTAAGAGTCGCTCCTGTTTGGAACACACTTCTGATCAAAGTGAAAACTACCTCTCAAGAGACAGCTCATGGAAAGTCTTGACAAATAGGTACACCGTGAGATCATTTTCTAAAGTTATTTGTGTAGAAATTACTCCATGTGTACTATTTTGTATAGGAAATTATTTTCAATAATTTTCTTATAATAGCCGTTCATAAATAATATATTCAGATATTTAAATATGCTTTTCGATAATTATGTGATACTTACCGGAAGAATTTTAGCATAATATCACAGTGAGCATCAAACAAAAATAATCAGTAGAAAAAGAGATTATAATGATCGAGAAAATCTTTCAAGAAATTAAATTACACAGGTTCTGTGTTATTTTGCATATTAAAAAAAATCACAGTGTTTTTATGAAAAGTAAGCACTACTGTAGTTTTGTATGAATCAGCAGACAGATACTGAAAAAATAAACTATAAAGTCGTTTGAATATACTTTGAACGAATAAGTTCAATCAGATGTCCAGTGAAGCTCACTACTACAACGATGGCCTCGGTAGCAAAAGTGGTTTCATGGACGTTTCTCTAGTTTACATTTAAGGTTCGCGAACATGGATTCCCATAGCTTTAGCAATAAGATAAAGAACTTGCTAAGCATCTGGCATATTTGATAGACTATGGACTATAAGCTTTGTTTAAACGGACTTCAAGTCTCAAATGCATCAAGCATCGAGAAGATAGTATAAACGATGACTCTAAGCAAACACTCGGGGGTGCTTTCGTTAATCTAAGTCATATATACCAGTGTAAGAACATGGTGAAAAACTAGTTAAAAATCAACTTCTTCTCTCTATTTTTTCTGATCTGAGGAAGTTGAAATCACGTAAATGCTCAAGCCAAGGAATAAGAAACAGAAAATTTTTAGACGTGAGATATTGGATTTTATGAAATCAGTAAATGCATTTTCTTCGTCACACGACGAGTTCTAAAATGAAAACGCAAATCCCAAAACAGTTGAACATTTTTAGTGGTGTTTCAACCAAAATATGATGACAGTGGACAAAAGACATTTGTATTAGGAACGCTAAGTAACAAAGAAAGGTTTCCCTGAAAAAAAACCATTCCATAATTCCAAAGCTCTTTCGAAGCACCACACACAAACTAAGTTCAAAGTAGCAATACCATATACTTTTATAGTACGAATTTTCACTTGTTCATCTGCTGGAACTCGACTGAAACTCGAATGTAAAATCACAGTTAGTGTGCAGTCGATAACAAGTGTTGTTCATGATCATATTCATATAATGGAGCAGTCGTATTTAATTGAGACAACTCCAAATGACATCCAAAAGTCGACCATGGAAATAGCAACTATGTTCAAATGATGTAACGTTCGATTCTGTTCTGCTGTCCATGTAAAGTTAAAATCTTTTAAGTGAAATTTCCAAGAAATATTATTGGAGGCTACAGAAATATCTGAGGTGGTTAGATAGATCATTGACTTCTTGAATTTACGAACCGACTGATAAAGGAGACAGAACTTCGTGACAGATAACACACACATATGACCTTATCATATGTTTTCGAATGTATTACTTTAGGATTATTCCCTCACGAATAAAATACCTGACCACTATTTAAAAATGATCCATTTGAATAAGGGTAAAAATTAGACAGTTACATCTTTTGTCAAGTTGTAATCCGAATTCCTCAAGGATTCTGTAATTAAAAAAGTCGTGAACTCGAGCAAAACCGCATAAATGAATTTTAAAACCTTGGTGTTGTGGAGAGCACTGAAGATAGGGGGAGGGAGAACAAGATACAATACTTCATCTCGCTTTCACAAAAATGGCACACTAAAATGACACAGTAACCAATCACAGCCAAGGATTTTCCTGGTGGGAACTGCGATCTCAAGGTCAAATCATCGGCACATGAAATAAGTCCAAAATATAGATATTTATCAAGCGAGTTCTGGGGATCTAACATCCCCAACAAATACCTTTAAACCTTTTTTTGCCCAGTTTTACAAAATTCATGCTGAGATCTAGATAAACTGATTCATCTACAATTGACGTGAGAGCATTGTCGTCCTTGCTCATGGACTGGAACGATCAGCGGTCAAGACCACCTCAGTGTGATTACGTTTAGTCCTCAGATTCTATCTAGGATCTCAATCACGCTAACCGCTAAAACTGGACCTAGTCCACTAGGGCGTTCCTTACTTTAGAATGTCTATAGCCTTCTCAACCTCATCAAGAGACGGAGGACAAAGATTTAACATTCAGGTTGCTTGTAAATGATGAGTAACTGGAGGCCAATTCAAGCATTCAATATGGTGATGTTCATCGACCAAATCTCATGCATTGGAAGCAAATAATAGTCCAAATTTCTTTTAAGATAGTTGCCGGATTTTCGATATCTGTTTCCTTAATAAGTTTACCGCTACTTACCGGAGCTGCTAGACAAATATCGTGAGATACTCGAAACTACATTTTCCCCAATGACGTCATAAGAAGCTTGCTTTACTAGCAGTATGAACAACCTGAATTCGAAGTGTTACTCCGGTCATATGCACAATGTTTGAAAAAGAAGTCAGTTGACTTTAGTTATCCATTGATACAACTCCAGAAGTTGATTAACAGTAGCAACCAGTACCTCGTCGGTACAATACAAGTCGCAATTATAAAAAGTGGATATATATAAAGGCATAGGTAACCTCGACGCTTCTTAGTACGTTTTTTTCCTCACTCAACATAAAAATTGTTCTTTTATCAACTATTTTTAGTGAATTGATCACTTTTGAACTGTTTTAAATGCTGACATGTAAACTGTAATAGTGTACTCAAACTATAAAAATACTTTTGAACTTTCTTATAAGTTCAGCTTTCTTATCACTTGGTATGATAACACATAGATGATACGTAACAACTATCAGGTGATTATCCGTATTCCTAGGCCTACAGTTGCATAGGTCATTGACTAGCTTACGTTATTACTCTACAAATCGTAATTGGATTATGTCTATAATTTTCGCATGAAGTGTTTTAATATTGTAAACATACTTCATGTCAAGTAGATTACAAAAATCACAGGTTGAATTAAAAAAAACTCATAAGAAATTGAGGAATTGAATTGTTTATTGCGCGTACTGCTAAAGTGTAACAATAAATAGCAATTAACCTATTGTCGGAAAACAATTTGTGTACAAATATTATTTCCGTTTAAAAAGTACAAAATTAGATCTTCTGAACATGATATTATCTTAAAAAACAATTCTAAATTACAAATTGTTTCCCTCGCACATAAGTATCTGTTGTCAAATGAGATTGTCCAACATTATTCAAGCTACGTTTACATTGATTACATCTCTCGTATTGTGCAGTTTGTTCTAATAAAAGAAGACTTTGTTGATCTCGATCTCTTAATTTCTCATGCAACTCTTTATCATGTTTCACTTGTGAAGCATTAAGCCATTCGTTTCGCATGTACTGTTGCACTGACTTATGTTCTTGCTTTTTTTGCACTATGTCCGCAACTAAACTGAAATTCGAAAGAAAAGTATTTTGTTTGAATATAAAGGTTGTTGGTAAGGATTAAAATTAGTTGATATCAACATGCTCATAAGCAAAATAATATAAACTTAAATCATGATGAAGACATTTTACAGAGATCTTGGGTTCAAAGTCAGATTATAGACAATGTCAGTTAGACTACAGGAATAAATACTGTTTGATTCTAGAAGATCAATCCGAATCTAAAAAACCCCATAGCTAAGATAATAGATGATAGTTTTAAGACGTTTTCCATAAATCGACAAAGCAGTAGTTCTTAATCTCATGATTTAAGGAAGATAATTTACATAGTTAAATTGTTTTAGCTGGTTCTTTGACGAAATTGTTCAGTGCTTTAATTCAGTTAACCGATCTTATAAAATATAAGTGGTGAATGAAGAGGAAAAAACAACTTACTCATCATGAACACGTTTTAACACTTTTTCTTCTTGCTCTTTCACATTAAGCTGTTCATTTTTCAGTTGATTCTTTAACTCCTCAATGGATTTCAACTGATGCTCTTGAACAGATTTCGCAGTTGAGTTACGTTCAACAAGTTTTTTATCATTATCCGAGAACAACTTCGACATAAATCCTAACGAATTGTCCTCAGATTTAGGTAGATGTTCAGGTTTATGATTTACCTATGAAGTGGGATCACAGAATAAAAATATTCTATCGATCAATATATTTATCTTAAATACAACTGAAGATTAATAATATAAGTAGTTGAGAATATCTGGAATTTTATGTCGTTAATTATAGTTATTGAGTTTGGTTGTCCGATAGGAGAGATCGGCGATGGTCATCAAGAGGGGAAAGAACATCACGACAAATTAATTAACATACTAGTCGAAGTCAGTGGATTCTTCAAATGGTATGTAATTTAACACAGTAACGAAATACAAAGGAGCTTTTAAAGTTATCGTTGAAATAATTAACAGTATAATCGAATAACTACTTATATGATTATTTGGTGCCATGAAATCATAAGCTCAAAAAATGTAAAAGTGAACTTGACAAATCAGATAAGTTTTCACAAAATTGGTTGATATTAACTGAGCTATAAAAGTATAATTAACCAATTATAATCAAATTTCTTACGCGGAATCTTTCCGTACGTTTCGGTATCGTGAGCCAAGCCCCAGCTTAAAATCCTCAAGGACAAAGGAGAAGTAGAACAAGGAGTACACTGAGCCGAGAATTAGAGACAGATAAGGAAAGAATGCATAGCAATTAGGTAGAACTGGGAAGGCCTACCATACAGAGTTGGTTGGAGAGCGTTGGTCAGAGGCCTATGCTCTTTTGAGGTAATTAGTGATGTCATTAACCACCTGAATGACTCATTTTCGGATATTCGATATACACTCGGTACATCAACAACTGGAAAGTCCGGAGGGGTTTTTCGTTAAGGTTGTTTACTTTTAGCTTATACGAATTGGAGCTATTTGATTTGTTCTTCAGTTAAAAAGACATTTATGAGGCGTTTTCGCAACCTACAATAATACTTTCGGAATGAACAATTGTAAAAGTACTGATAAGTGTCTTTAAAAAATTGCAAGCAGATAAAAATTACAAATTTTAGAAAACACTGTGGTTTTCTTATGTGGAACTCCAAAACAGGAATCAAATAAAATCTGCAACTCAGTGTTTTACTGTTATAATCAGTGGTGTCCATGAAACGAACTAGATACGCGGTCACCCTACTCCTCAAACTCACTACTTAAGCGAGGAGACAAAAACAGAAGAAAAATTCTATTTAGCTATCGAATAATACGTATGTATATATTCTTTCCCCTTAGAGAATGAATCCATTTCCTGAGCAATGATATGCATTCGTCCCTTGGGACATTTATGATTGTCATCAAGTGACCATCTATTTTGGCTACTTCTGAAGGGTTTTTCTTATTACGCACAATAATGACTCGAAGGTGTTCACTTTTCAGGATTTTTAATCTTCATGTCACCATAAATAGAATACAGATTTACCAACCTGAAAGTCCAGAGCTTCTTTGTATGCTAATTGGCTCTGCAATTTGTTTTCATACACGTGTCTTCTTTGACTTTCCAGTTCTTTGACTAACTTAGCTTGTTCCAATTTGCCTGAATTAAGTTCTTGTTCTTTTAAACGATGTAAATCCGATAACCGTTGTTCAACTTGATTGTCAAGTTCAGCTCTTCAATTTCAGTATAAAACCAAAACAGTCATACATAAAAACAGGGTCTAAACAGAAACAGCTAAGTACAAAATTCCGTGGTGGAAAAAAATATTGCGACTTACTTAAGTGTTGTATCTCTTATCAGCAAGTTAACTTAAAGTTCGCTAGTTTGACTACCGATGAAAGTTAACCCTATCAATACCATTACTGAACTACCAAGCTAGTACTACTAAAAAATAAATTTCATATTTATTCATGAACAACGTAGGATATAGTATAACTATATGTTAGCACAAGTTGTCACACTTCAGATCAGTAAAGTGAGATAGGAAATCATTGAGATATAAAGAGAAATAGGATCCAAAAAGAACAAATTATAACGAAAGAGTAATGTTACGGGATTTTAAAAGGTACAAAATCTGAAGAAAAACACAGAATATTGAACTTGAATACTGTTTACTTGTTTCCGATCACGGATTACCCTTGTTTTAAAAAACCAATGGTTGACACCTATTAGCCCTAAAATTATGCTGTGAATCTTTAATGATCTAATACTGTCATTATGCAAACAGTAAAATATACTACTTGGATCTATATGTTTTCTGTACATATAGTGTAGTGCTGGAGATGACCACATAAAGTTGGAAAGCTTGAAAAATATAGTTCATTTTTCAATTAGAGCTATGGAGATGATTTCAGTGTGCAAAAAATATAGTTCAGTCAGTCAGCAGCATACAACATCAGTTCAAGTTGCCATACCATACTGGTATAGAGATGCAATTGTCAATTCAAATCTCACAGTAGTAGAGGCAGTAAAAGTAATAGCAGTAATCGAGAGATTCAAGTTCGAAAATGTTCTCTAAGAAGCATAATCCAGGGAGATAAACTTAAAAAGAGAAAGATAAAAGTGATGAAGAATCAAGAGGATTAGGATTTGAGGGAACACAAAGAATGGATGCACCTGCGCCATTGCAAATGGTTTTGAGCATGTCATTCAAGGTCTCTAACCATTGATTATCAGGTAGGCTACACTTACGAACATGACTCAGTTCAGTTGTCAGTGACTTCATCGATTTGTGCCAAGTCTTGGTTTGGCCACACTACTCCTACACCACAAAACAAAGCTTGTCAAGGCAGACAGCAGTAGGGCATATCTAACATATGTCTCAACCATCCCAACTGATGAAGATTGAATACTTTGTCACTCGATTTACCATCCTTTCTTAACAACAGCATTGTTTACTCGATAGTCCCAAGATAAACGATCAATGGTTCGGAGATACCTATGATCGAATACAAGTAACCTACGAAGATCTTCTACTCTTAAAGGCCATATAGGATAAAGGAGCGAACTATCGCGCAGTACACTCGTTCCTTAGTAAGCAAACGGATATCTCGCCTACGCCATAAGTGACGTAAATTGGCAGAAGTCAATCGAGCTTTCTGTATCCGTGATGAGATTTCGTTAGTCACCAGGCCATTAGCAATGATGACACTCCCAAGATAAGTGGAGCGGTCGACGCGCCCGACTACTTCACTCCCTATCACCAGTTCAGGTGCCTATATATGTCATCGGCATATACTAAGTCAACAAGCGAGTCTCCTGGTAGAAGGTCCACCTTTAAAAAGTCAGACGAAAATAATGTTACCTCTAAAAGCATGTCTATGACAAAGTTGAACCAGAATAGGGAAAGTGGACATCCCTGACGGAGACCACTTGAAGTAAATAATTCTGGTAACAGTTTGCCATAAGCTTTAACTCGACTAGTGATTTTTGAGTAGAAAGCCTGTATAGGGTTAACGTAACTCTCCGGTATATCTTTCAGTGACAGGCACTGCCATAGAACCTCACCATCAACAGAGTGAAATCCTGCTTTACGGTCCAGTAAGACAACTATTGTCGGATGCCGAAATGGGTGTCTGTGTTTCAGGACCTGACGAAGTGTGAATATATAGTCTACACAGACACGTCCAGGTCTGAAACCAGCCTGGTTTTCTCTAGTCTGCTCTGCACGAGCTCTAGTTTGGAGTCAAAGTATTATCGAGGCTAACAATTTAGGAACTGTACCAGTCAAACTGATTCCTGTGTGAATGTCACAAGAGGACTTTTGTACTTTATTATAGACTGGGAAAATCAATGGTTGAGACCAGTCAGATAGGATTATGCCCAGTCCCCATAATTTAGCTAAGATCTCGGTCAATCTAGCTGCTAAAACTGGACGACAATCCTTAAAAATCTCAAGGGTTAACCACCTTTTCTCTCTCGCTTCAGATTTCTTCTAGCTTTTTCAACTTCATAAAGAGTCGGAGGTCCAAAGCAGTTAATGTGAATATATTTTTTCTACGAATGAGAATATAAAAACCTAAATATGGAGGATTACTGAGTGACTGCTTCACTGTGGTAGCTCTTGAATCACAATCTATGTAGGAATAAATACATCAGAATTTAGCCAAGGGGTCAAAATCTATTAGATAAAAGTATCTGAGTTTAAGAAATTAGTAATATATGGTTCGCTACAAATTCCCTTTGGCTCCATACAGGTATCAAGGTAGCAATTTCCAAAGAGCCTTCAGAAATAAGTGAAACAGTTGTTCAGTGTTACTTTATATTAGAATAGACATTAACTTAAAGGCTTACAATCCCATATATATTGACAAGGCAACATATTAGCATCTTACGATGATTTTACTTTTAAAAATATTCATTACGTCATACAACACATCCTTAAAACAATTGGAATATATTAGCATTTATGAATATTAATATTAATTCAAGATATTATGAAAGATGCTCAATCATCTATCTTGTCGTTCGGTAATAATATGGTCATTTTATACAGTCTAAATTATCTGCTATATGTGATAAATACAGAGAGAAAACAATGCATTGAGAACAATCGATACAAGGGATTAATAAAAACAAACGTATACAAATTCAAATGCATGTGATGTGTTATAAACTCACTTTAATTCTTGCTGTTTATTTCGACGAAGCGGTGTGGGTGGTCTTTTACCCATAATAAATGTTTGATAGATTGTAGGATCTACGAATGATTTTTTCATGCGTTTAGAATTAGCAACACCGAGATTAAAAGCTGCCTGTCTGCATAATTCATTTCTCCTGGTTAATAAAATTTCCTGAAATTTAAATATAAATAATGTCACTTGATTAATAAGAACAAGGAAAATACCATATTAAGCGAAAATTTACATACATATTAACACCAGTGAGCATCTACCAATATTAATTTATGGATAAAAAAACGAATAGCCATAAATACATAAATGCATGTTAGTTCGAGTTGCCATACTTGATTTGCTTAACAAGTAGAAGATAACAAAAGCAACAGAAATTATGTAATAGCAAGAATAAAGACTAGACTTTGCAAATACGACTTGAAAAGACAGAGTAGAAACGTTGAGTCGAAGATCTAGAGCGGATATTGAGAAAAAGCCATTACGCTACTGGTTATGTCCTGAATGGCGAATCGATATAAGACCTCCGAATCCATATGAAGTTGAGAAAGCTATAGGAAATCTAAAGCAAGGTACAGCAGCAGGTCCTGATAGATTGACGCCTGAGATTTTTAAGGATGGTGGTCCAGTTTCAGCAGCTAGATTGACTGAGATCTTAGGTGGCATCAGGGAACTGGGGGTAATCTTATCCGACTGGTCTCAATCGCTGGTTGTCTCATTCAATAAGAAAGGACAAAAGTCCTCTTGTGACAGTCACACAGGAATCAGTCTAACTAATATAGTTTCTAAATCGTTAGACGCCTAACTATAGCTCGTGAAGAGCAGACTAGAGAAAACCAGGCTGGTTTTCGATCTGGACGTGGCTGTATATACCACTCTCTCCATTCTTGTTTAACTTTGTCGTAGACATGATTTTGGAGTTAACATAATCCTTGTCAGATTTTTCAAGGGTGGACCTGCTACCAGGAGGAGCTCTTTTTGACCAAGAATATGCCGACAAAATAGTCCTATTCGGTGAAGATGCTGAAAAAATGCAGTCTTCTGACTACCATAAGCAACAATGCGAGCATGTTTGGGATGCGGTTCTCATCCTCGAAATGCAAAATTTCGCTTCGAGATTGGGTTGCATCGGCACTTGAACTAGTGATAGGGAGTGAAGTAGTCGGGAGCGTCGACCGCTTCACTTATCTGGGGAGTCTCATCAGTGCTGAAGGCCTGGTCACTGACGAAATCTCATCACGGATACAGAAAGCTCGATTGGCGTTTGCCAATTTAAGTCATTTATGGCGTAGGCGAGATATCCGTTTGCTGACTAAAGGACGAGTGTACTGTGCAGCAGTTCACTTCTCCCAACTTTATGGCTGTCAAACAGCCAGTAAGAGAAGATGACATTCGGAGGTTACTAGTACTCGATTATAGATGTCTTCGAAGTATTGCTTACATATCCTGGGACAACTGAGTAAGCCATGCTGTTGTTGGGAAACGAGTACTAAGTAGGGATGGCAAATTAATAGATGAAGTATTGAAACTTCATCAGTTGGGGTGGTGGGACATGTGTTACGAATGCGCAACCACTGACTACCTTGACGAGCAACGTTTTGTGGTGTAGGAGTATGTTGGGAGGAAGCTAGTGGCGGCCAGACCAAAACATGGCAGAAATACATGAAGTCACTGCCTACTGGATTGAGTCATGTTGGTAGATGTAGGCTACCTCCTGGTTGTGGTCCGTGAGAGACCTTGAACGACACGGCCCAAAATAGTTTGCGATGGTACAGGTGCATCCACTCTTTGTGCTCTCTCAAATCCTAATCTTTTGGATTCATCAACACCTCTACCTTTCTCCTTCTAAACTTATGCCACTGAATTATACTTCTTGAATATTATCTTCAAATCCTAATCTTCTCCATAACCAATAATATTTCTACTATCTCTATCACAATGGGTTTTTAATCGACAATTGCGTCTCTGTGCTAATGTGGTATATCAACCTGAACTGATGTACTTACGTACGAAGTTCTACTTTGTAACTGACTGACTGAGTGTTGCTGCTGGTAATGACTCCACGTCATGTCACCCAGTCTCCAACCTGTAGTTGTGGTTACTACGCGGCTGCCAACCAAGTAATGTGCACCTACCTACATAGGTTAGAACAACAGTGACTTCCTAGTTCGATGAAACGTTTTGCTTTGACCGCCTCTAGCTTTCATTTAAGAAAGTTCCACACAAGTAAGTATTGCTCGTTGAGATTGATGGTGACTACGCATGTGTAATAGATTTTTTAACGATACTAGTGGATGACCATTTACTATTTCGTCAACCTATGCCTGAACTCAATACTAGCTAGTCAGGCATACTATAGAGTATAGGCAATGTTTAAAGGCAACTATAATCAAAAACTCTTAGCCCGCATATACCATCTCACTAAACATACTTTTTGCATAGTTGACAGCCTTATGAGCAAAACAGCTCCACTAGGCAGCAAAGATTAAAATGATCGATAAACATTAGTTACTTTAAGTCATACCCTGTTTGAAGAAATATGCCAGCTAAAGTCTATGTTGTTTTGAATAAAGTTCCCCCTTTCTGTATCTGTGCGCTTCAAAATTATTCATTGTGGAAATGTTTAAGATCAATATTTCAGTATTCTACGTCGACTCAACTTATCTTAAAATCAGTGACTCTAACCATAGTAACTGATACATCTATATCCGTATATTTTTATTTTATAATTAGATTAATGTATTCTGGCGAGAATCAAACAAGGCTTATTCTAAAATTAAGATAAAGCTTACTTGTTCTTGTTTAGCTTCATTATTTTCCCTCATTTTTTGATAAATGTGTAAAAGTTCATTTTCGACTTGCTCCTTTTTTTTAATTTCATCTTTTAAATCTACAGGAATATTACGCATACGTCTCTGATGACATAAATAACATAACCCGTTTTTTTCACTTAATACATGATTACAATTCTCATCGGTTTTAGGTATCCTTTTCTCTAGTTCTTCAATATTACTTTTTGATGAACGTACACTGGACAGAGTAGATCTTGAGTGATTTGACAATTTGGAACTCATAGATGATGGAGAACAATGATTTGTGATTTTTGCACTTGGTTCAACATTTTGTTGAAAATCAGCTGTAAAAAGTTTTGGCGAATCCCCCGGAATGAAACCCTTTTGATTTAATTCAGCATTATCTGTAACCGATGAAAGTGGACTTGAACTTCTGGAACTCTCATTACATTCTTCTACTGAGAGTGATTCATGCTGATTGACAGTTTGCGGTACTTCTTCAACTGTCGAAAACTAAACAATAACAAATTCAAAGAAACAATTAGTTAATTTTTAAGTCTAAAATGATGAAAGTGAGTACCGTGTAAATACTGTATTTATTCCGTTGTTTTTAAGCCTTTCAACATTAATAAGTACACAGGCTATTCCGTGAAATGTCAAATGAGTATTCCTAGTCAGACTATGGATGAAGAAGCTGAACTAGCTTTCTTTCACATCATGACGGAAGCAAGCTGAACCAAACGACGATGAGGGGTAATTCGTTGACCACATCACACCATCTGGTGGCCTGCTTGAATTTCTGAGCTATTGTTTTCCCCTACAGCAAAATATTTCAAAGAGTTACCTCTTTTTGTTTGTTTTAACAAATCAATTATGTCTAATAGTCACATAATCTATCTACCTTCATAAAAAGTTCTATACTTATCCTTTTACAAGGTATAAACAAGTAAAATTTGAGGTATCACGGTGGCCGGTAATATACACTGAAGAGAATGAACGTGACTCAGATAACCGCTAACCTCCAACTGCCGATCATTAGTTGGCAAGATGGGTTATCTTCAATTAGTACTACGTCTAGACATGTATTGTAACTGTGGTGTAATCAGAATTTAAGAATGCTGATTAAATAATTGTTTAGTTTTACGACAAAATTTCAGTATTTATCATCAGGATCGATCAAGCTACAAGAAAAAGTGTCGCGGTGGTAAACATAAACCAGCGTTTTCAAACGACTATATAGACTGTCTAACCCTAAGATGACGTCCAAAACTGTTGAATTAGTAGTTCTATGTGTGGTGATTTTAATTAATGTAACTCTAGCCTTGTTTCATCACTAGGTCACCAAAATATAGTTTATTTTTCTACTCATTCGGATTCATAAGTAGACCTTGTTTTCATAAACGATATGGGTATATAAAGGTGCTCAATTACTGAATCCTGATCATTGCATTATTCATGTTTTACCCAAAGTATATGGCAAATTTGGAAAGAGAACACTCTAGGACTAGATCAAGTTAAACACAATTATTCGGAAGAAAATGTCCAAAATATGAAAAAATCGTTTCATACAAAAGACTAGGATTTATTTACAAATAACTTATTGGAAAACGCCGTTGATCCTGTCACTTATTATCTCAAATTTTGTTTTGATGTTTGCTGTCCCATTGAAACTATTTTCCTAAAGTTTGATCATCGACTAACACCTCCACAACCAAACGACTACTAAGGGAGAAACAATGTATTGGGAGAAAAACTGTTTTGGTCTAATAAACCAAGAACTTAAATCTCTGAATGCATTGTTTACGCGGAAACTCCTACTTTGTAAAAACACTTCAAATATGCGGAAACTATTTACAGAGCCTAGGGTGGGAGAGGTGTTGGTGATGATGGTCAACTGAATGTTTGTGAAATGAATAAATCTTTAGTATGTCAATCATCTGATGTTATGCTTCCCATAATCACAAGTTTGAAAAAGAGTTATGCTCCAGTTTGACTGTGACTGATGTCTGGAAATGTCTCCAGTTACTTAGTTAGTCCTAATGTCTAGAACTTGAGGAAATCTGCTGATATCCTCTGTCATCGATTCACAAAAATCCTAAATGAATCCTTCTCATCAAATTTTATAACGAAAATGTAGAAAATGATAAAGATGATTCCAATTCCAAAGAAAGTGTCTGGTAATCAGAATGTGAAATCTAGATCTACAGCGATTACTCCACCTATTCATCAAAACAATAGAAAAACTTTTGTCACTCGAACTTCAACCTACATTAAGAATGTTTATTGGTCCATACCAGTTTCCTTAGAAATTTAAAAGAAATACTTTAGATGCTACTGTTGCCATGTATCATAACACAGTGTTCAGTCTAGCAGTGGGGAAGAAATATGTTCAATGCGCATATCTAGATTATACTTCTGCCTTTGAGTCTATAACAACGACATGACTATTGAACAAGCTTAGCAGCGTTAACACTGACAGATGAATAACCAACTGACTGTAATCTTACCTCTCTGGAAGAGAATCTGTGCTTGAAGGAAAATGTTCAACGTCTTTATTAAGTCAGGAATGTTTGACACAGGAAGCTGTTCTTTCACCTTTTCTTTTCTTAACTTTTTCTACATTACCTCCCGTCTTCGACAGAAAACATTTTTCTTAAATATGCAGATGATCTTACTGTATGTACACTTATTTCTGCCTCTCAAGTCCCAACCTTCTGAATTCCTCATCACCTTTATCGTTTTTTTTAAGTTTATTTCCCTAGATTCTACTTCTTGGATAATATCTTCGAACTCTAATCTCTCCGATTACTGATAATAATTTTACTACCTCTACTACTATGGGATTTGAATTGAATTGTATCTCAGTGCTAATGTTGTATGGCAACTTGAACTGCGAAACCGTGCACAGAAGACAGTTGACAAACTCGTTCGAGGTGAAAACTGGTGTCAGGAAAGCTTGCCTACTCTCAAACTTTCTGTTTCTCCTGGTGATCGACTGGATTATGAAGACGTCAACATCTGTAGGGAAGCACAGAATGCAGCTGGACGATCTGGACTTCGTAGATGATTTGGCTCTTTTATCGCACACGAGACAACAAATGCAACAAAAGAAAACCAGTGTAGCAGCAGCAACATGTCTCGACATACACAAAGGGAAAAGCAAGATTCTCCGATACAACACAACATGCACCAACCAAATCATACTTGATGGAGATACCTTGGAGGATGTAAAAACCTTTACATATTTGCGCAGCATCATTGATGAGTAAGGGGGATCTGAAGCAGATGTGAAGGTGCGGGTCAGTAAAACAAGAACAGCATTCCTACAATTGAAGAACATTTGGAATTTCAAACAACTATCAAACAACACCAAAGTCACAATTTCCAATACAAATGTCAAGACAGTTCTACTGTATGGGGCAGAAACTTGTAGAACTACCAAAGACATCATCCAGAAGACACAAGTGTTTTTTAACAGTTGTCTAGGCAAAATACACCATCAGTAACAGCCTACTGTGGGACAGAACAAACCAGATTCCAGAGAAGAAAGAGATCAGGAAGAAGCGCTGGAAGTGGATAGGACATACATTGAGGAAAGCACCCAACTGCGTCACAGTACAAGCCCTTAATTGGAGCCCTCAGGGTCAAAGGAAAAGAGGAAGACTAAAAAACACATTACGCCGAGAAATAGAGACAGATATGAGAAGAATGAACGACAATTGGACAGGACTGGAAAGGAAGGCCCAGGACAGAGTAGGTTGGACAATACTGGTCGGCGGCCAATACTACGTTAGAGGGTAACAGTCGTCAGTAAATTCCAAGTACAATTTGACCTCATGAAGGTACAGGAATGTCTTGTTAGTATTTATACTCCAAATAGTAAGGTGCCAAGAATCTAAATGGTTTATGAACCTGAATCCATTTGAATGATATCAGACTGAACATGAGTATAAAAATTTTACGATATTAACTACATTTACAATCTGACTTACGTGTACTTAGGTTAACCCCATGGGTATTTGTTTTATGAACACTTGTTACAAACTGCTCAATTAACTGAAAACATAAACTACTTATTTGTTTCCACAATACAGGCCTACCACCTTTCAAAGGAAAATAAATAATAAAATACCAAAACACATTATGCCGAGGAATGGAGACAGACATGAGAGGAATGAACGACAATTGGACAGAACTGGGAAGGAAGGCCCAGGACATAGTAGGCTGGAGAATACTGGTCGGTAGCCTATGCTCTATTGAGGTAACAGGCGTCAGTAAGTACGGACTGAAATGTCTTCAAGAAACGGGAAACTAAAAATATTCAACTGATTGTTTTTAGAATTACTGTTTTATTTGTTTTGTTTACAAATTACAGTCTTTCATTGTATTGAACAATTTTCCTCTAGTAACTAAGTATTTTGAAATAATGAGCATAGTAGAAACTGCCCAACTGTAACTTCATTCGTTTTATTATCCCATTGAAATTATTAATGAAATTAGTCAACCAGTCAGTCAGTTACAAAGCAGAACTTCGTACGTCCGTTCATCAATTCAAGATGTGATACAACGTGAGCACGGAGACGCAATTGTCAATTCGAATTCCATATTGTCGAAGATATTATTCAAGAAGTATAATTCAGTGAGATGAATTTAGAAAGAGAAAGATAGAGGTGATCAGGAATTCAGAAATGAAATTATGTAATAATTGGAACAATAAATGGCTATAATGATGCATTAATTACAAAAAAACGTTGGCTGAATAAATAACCATTAAAACCTTTAGTGAGATACTATTAAGTCATAGTATGAGTAGTTTAGGTAAAACTGGGTTTCAAGTGTAACATAACTAGAACATGATATAAAGATACAGTCTACACTCTTTTAACGGTAACGAAATCAATGATGGACAATCCGCAATAAGAAATACTTAGAGGCACAAAAAATGGGCAGCATACACCTGATGTTAAAATGCAGTGAGTAATATATGCCCTAACTCTAAGAATCAGACATTTTTACTTCACAAGTTAGCTGTTACCACAAAGTTTTACGTCTGTTAGACTAAACAACACTAACATTTCACCCGATCCAAACAACAAATATCAAATATTTCATATGAGAAATGCGTTTCTGATGATTACTCATAGTTTTCTTACTCGATAGGATCTGAGTGGTCATTTCTAAGAATGAGACTTAATCGCTTTGAAGGATATCAAAAGAAAATTGTCAAAATATTGAAACGGTAAACTTCTTACGTAAATGTGTACATACTTTACTGTTTCGATTTATCCCACTAGTACAAATACAAGATGCCAGAGAATCAGTATCACTTTTTTCAATATCAGGATCATCCATCCTTGAAAATTTACTACTGACACTTGACTGATCATCTATAAATTTGAAAACAAAAGGATCATTTGCAAAAATACAGTCTATGAGAAAATTTCCTATTTTTTTTATTATGCTTAGATACATTACAGTCAATCTTTAACAAATGAAATGCTTCGCAGTTATCCGTTAGGGAGCACGTGATTAAAAGAACTTAATCCTTGCAAAACGTAAACTGGCTTACTCCTTATTTACCATTCAAATCGTCAAAAAATAAGTCAAAACTTTAGTGAAAATAGCATTTGTTGCAGTTATAGCACTTTAGACCAACACAACAAAGAGAAAAACGGATACAAGTAACCAAAGAGCAATAGTATGAACAGAATATTCCAAATCCAAATTTATTAGGTCTTCTAATCTCTGAATAGATTCCCTAATTTTATGGAACAAAAATAACCTGGTCTTGTAAATTGATAATAACCCAATGTAGTTATGATACCAGTGAGATCACTAATCACGCAATTGCTATTTCTGGCTAACTCTGGTTTGTAATGATGTAAGAAGGTAATATTAAGAGGCGAGTTCTTTGAACTTTAAGACAGTCTAATGTCAACATATATACTGAAATGTTAGCGGGACGTAGATTAGATCAAAGCATGATTGCGTTGTTGCACGCTGATTGGCTCTTTCGTATCCAGCCGGCGCTAACCGATACAAGAATCTTCTCACGTGAAAACTAATGTGAATACTAATGTTTTGAACTTCCCTGACTTCCAAATAACCTTGATATTGGAATATAATCTATTTCCTGTCCAACCGTGTTCTGATTTTGGGAGAAGGTCTCGATTGAATTGGTGTCCGAGAATACTAAGCATTAGGAATAGCTGGGTTGTAATAACGAGAGAATTATAAAAACTATGATTCGTATTATTTGATATTCCTCTTATCCATTTGAAATCGGTGTACTGTTATAAATTCAGGCTACTAGAACGTATGCAATGCAGTATCAGCTTGAACAGTTTTTTCAAGTTTTATTCATGATCGTAAGGACATAAAAGAGTAACAGTTATTAGACGTATGTTAAATACTATTATTTCTTAATGGTTATTTTATTGCTATGGTATAGTGCGATCAATTTTGCTGATTTATAAAAATATGTGGTTTAAGATTCTAAAATAGTTCAACGATATGTAGTGCAGAACAAAATAAAAATTCAAATCTATTTAATAAGGAGCGTTCGTTTCCATAGAAGATGCACTAAAAAATCAATAATTTAGTATATACTGACCTGATCATTGTGACCTTAAATTGTCAAGCACACAAATATTCATTTACTCAATACGAAATATCATGAGTGCGAATTCGAGTACCACGTTCAGGTGTGATCGGTTATTTATGAATTTATCTACTGTAACCTTAAGACGTGAACCTTGTTCAAGTGAATACGATAGAAGCGGAGTAAATACTTAGAATACGATTCTGAAAAATGTTATAGGATTTTACCTTCCATTACGAACTCAACCATCACTGTGGTTTATCACTTGATAATATTCACTAATAACAAATAAGTTCGTTTTTAAGAATTCAGCTTCAAGACCTTTAAAATGTTGTGAATCATATTAGTTCCACATGTGTCCTTATTTTTATGTGTTGATTTTCAGCTAAAAATTTGATCACAACAAGTGCGTAACACATTTGTCTGAAATTACGATTCTCTTCTTTAACTGATTCCTCTGGGGTATAGGTCTCTAATGATAAGTTCGATCATTAATTTTTTTGACTGCTGCTAATACTTCTAATACCTCTACTACTATGGGATTTGAATTGAAAATTGGGTCTCTGTGCTAATGTGGTATGGCAACTTGAAGTGATGTATGCACGTGTGTGTTACTCTTGATCATATATTGGATTAACCATGACGCTGGTTATTAGAATGAAGCTTTTGATCACTATCTAGCTTTCACATAACCATTAACGCTGCCACGATGTACTCCACTATACCATGAACTTGCATTTTATAGTGAAAACTCCGTACATAAGATCCAGAAGTGCGAAATGGTAGATTGGGATTGAAAAGCATCTAACAAATAAGTCGAAAATATTGGTTGACTTTGATGACTTTAATAATAATTTATTTAGCTGTTAATTCGAATTGGCGTTGTACTGATGAATCATTGCATTATCAACAATATGGAGATTTATTTTTCAAAATGTAACATCTTGATAATACTTCATTTGTGAGAAATAGAAGCAGCAGGACCAAGCTATAATGAATATATGATCTGGTGATGGAATATTATGATGTAACCTCCTAAAGCATTTTAAGCTTGGACATCATCAGATATAATCGATGTTTAAACATAAAAAATCAAACATTTCAAATTTAACTGTTTTATATGGCTATTAGATTGAAATCCCATATACCGAGTAACTTTATTACTGGCTCTATGAATAAATCTGACAGTAGAAAAGTAACTGATTAAAAAGAGGATGTTCTAAAATAGCCACCAAGACAAGGGAAATTTTTGATCCTGAGAATTTATCTCATAGCAGATGCAATAATATCTCTGAAGCTGCTAGCGTCAATAAGTTGAATGGTTTAATCTTTGAGATTTAGTATCATACCAAAGTACTTAATAATTAAGTTTCTGGGATGTAAAATTCGTCAACAAATCACTTCACTTATCTCATGGTTCAGAAAAGTTTTGCAGATAAACTAGTAGGAGAATCGCAGATAGGTATGATATTTCGAACTCAACATCCCGTTGTGTAATTAAAAGGTATATGAAAGAAAACAAATTCACTTGTAGTATGAAGACATTTCATTGGTTTTCATGAAAATCCATCCAGTTATAATCAGTTCCTAAACTAACATGAAAGTAATCATGACATCAGGCATAAAGTGGAAATTAGTCGACTCAAAATCTCATTTTTCCAAACTCTAAAAATTTCTTTGAGAATCGATATTAGCTAATTTATCGATCCTTAATTTCCCGTTTCAAATTTTTTTGTCACTATTGGTTAAGCTATTTGCTTGAACAGGATTCAACAATGCAACTTCTACATGCTGTGAACAAAATAGAGCCAAGAATTTTCGACGACAGTTGATTCGTTGGGATCAGAATTGACTATGGTAAGCTTTAGTATAAGATTTGCAAGAATTTTTCTTTAAATATCATATAGAAATTCATACAATCTTATGTTCTTTAAATTTTAAAACATCTCAGATAACAAACCTTTAAACAGTAATGAATACATACCTTGTCTCTTAGGTTCATATTTTTTTTCACTTAAAGCAGACATAACAGAAGTAGAAGGCTTATCTTCATCTATGGTAGCCAATCTCCTTCAATGAAATTTTTTAAGTTATTATTCGTTTTACAGATGTATTCGTGAACGATGAATAGCAAGGAAATAGACAACAACCTCAATAATAATAACAATAATAACGAAGACAAGAAAGATGATAGGTAGAGTAAACAAAACTATTTCATTCAATTTATGTATCATGTACAAGAAGGAGCAAACAAATACGAAATATTTCATACAACCTGATCCCTTGATAAATTTAAATAAACCAGGAAAATCAATATCCACAGAATAAATAAAATGAAGTCATGACATTTCAGGCCTTTTCATCAACTGCAAACAACAAGAACAACAATTTACATCAGTAATATTATTATTTTGAAAATGTTTTATAACATACCATAATCAATATAGTTCAGTTCGAAAAGACATAAGAGACAAGAAATATGATGAATTCATATTATTCTGCAAATGTTCTTGTTTTTGATTCATTTAAATTTATCAAGGAATTAGAATGTATGAAATTTCACATTACCTTCAAAAGCTCTTAGTTAAAAAAAAAACTACGATGAGATAAATGTAAATTGCGTAATTCCTCACACTTTTTTTATAGAATGTTAATTGATAAGATACGTAACCTGATATCGAGAACTCAGTCTTGTTTAGTCAAGCTTAATCAGGATTTGAGCACTTCCGCTAACCGATAAAATTTACGAAGAGATAGCACGCATTGAAGTCTACCTTATAAAAAATGGATATCCAACGACATTTATTATGTAATACGGAAAAGCGACGACGGAAAGTCCCAAACATACAAGTTAAAAGATAACTGGACACAGCCCGGTTTGCATTTAAAGGCAAGATTCAAAGCGGGATCGATAACTGGATTAGAGCAGAGCTAAGGATAAACTTCACCGCAACCCAGATATTTCGACGTAGAACTCCTGATTTTTCTTAAATTAATCTAGTGGATCTATTTCTTCCTTAGGTCACCTACAAATGTGTTCTTGAATATACAGGTACTCGTGGAAGTAAGTACATAGGAAGACTGGAAGAAGGTCATTTACAAGGTTTCCTGAATATATTTCCCGATGGTTACTTATGAAAAAAGTAAGGTTTCTACACGTAAGATCACCAAACATTTGATAGATGGTAAACACACATCCGACGCCTCAGAAGCATTGGAAATAATTGACAGGTAACTTACACAAATTGTACTATATTTTGCAGAGGTCATTGCCATTAAGCACTTCCGACCTGACTCTTGCATCCAGAAAGTGTGGTGAATCTACCATTGATATGGCCAGAAAGTTATATTATTTTAGCGTTAATCAGGTACTTGACAATCACTCAAGACTCTAAGTTAAATAACATTTTTAATAGATGCCTTGACTATCACTTATTTGGTAACAATTTATTTTTATGAATTTCCTTTCGTTCACGATCGCATGCTTTTTATAATTATATCTTTAACGTATAAATACCAATCTATCTTAAGTTGTTGTTTCCTCTTGCTTTGAACTGAACTTCATTGATTTGAATAAGTAATAAAACATTTTTATAATAGTATGTAAATTTACGTTGTTCGCAAATGACGAGAAATCATTAAATATGATTTTATTCTGCAAATATTGTTCTGACTGTTTTATTTAAGTGCTGAATAATTGACTATTCCTTTTCAAGCCATTCACTGTTTTACAGACCATTTGTATAGGTTTCTATCCCAAGCGGTTAGGTTTAACATTTTACATAGCTGTTTTGGTAGCATAAACCATTTAGCATATTATTAATTTAATAAAACTACTTTATGACACTTTTGTCTTGGTCTTGATTCACAACAGTTTTCTGTAGTAGATCCCATAGTATATCTAGTTAACCGCAAAAATGACTTTAAATTTCCATAATACAGCGCTAACTTCACTGAAATCTACTAATGACGAGTAACTTAAAAGTAGATGAAGTCACCTATTCAAGCCACCTTATTAGAAAACATAAAATTGATACTATTATCAGATATCGGTATTTTTCAGTGGATGAAAAACAAAAGAAAATTGATTTTACTGACGTTTTACGATTAAATAGTAGTAGCCTTATAAGAGTATCAGTAGACCAAATTTTACGTCAATCTCAGCTTACATAGAGTAACTCAATCAAAACTCTTCTGTATGAAGCGATTCTGTATTTTCAAATAAATAAATTAATATAAGATGAGATTTGTGTAAATTCTAATTTAATAGTATTTGGTAGATCTACCTATTATCAGCAAAAACACTTGTTTCAGTCTCCATAATCCTAGTAACAATGAATACTACTCATTTAATGCCGAAATGTTTTCAAACCATTATATATGAACTTGATTCGGTTAACCAAACATGAAACCTATGTCAGAAAATGTGATCGCTCTTGATGAAACTAATTTCTTGGTTCCATCAGACTACAACAATTTTAAAATTTTTTGCTCAGAACATTTAGTCGGAGCTCTGACGTGGAATTATTAACTACATTTTACCTTCTGAATTCGCGAGTTAAACACGTAGAGAGTATAAAGAAAGCCAACAGAAAGATTCGTCACAATTTAATTGAAAAGTGGTGTCTATAACATGCCTTAAAAACATCGTGGCAGATTATTTATGGATTAATTTTTCGTTTTATACTGTAAGATTAAGTTGCTAGCTGATTTTTATGATGATTTCATGGCTTCTTCATATAGTTTTATTTGTTACTTTTTGAACTCATAATTTTTGTGAGATGAAATTCAAGCCCAGATAATTAAAACTGATTTTATCTGAAACGATAATAAAGGCTTCGGGATTAAATCATCCAACTTAGAGAAGACAATACCGAAATGTGGGTCAGTCAGTTTTTGACAACAAATGAAAGCCTGTGTCGTAAATAAATCCAAAACACAGTATCCGTTTAAAAAATCTGAAAACTGACTAACGTGAAACAAAGGTTACAAACTTTTAGTAAACAATGTAGCATCAAAAACGTCGAAACTCCAGGTTTTAATTATAATAGACAAACTTTTCTATAATTTTGATGACTTCGATTATCATCGTTAATTAATCAAACCGCCATAACTTACTTTTCAAGGGAATTAATAGACTTGTAACTTCTGTTGCTCATCATTGACCGATCGGTTGTTAAACCATCAGAAGATTCTGGACGCTGAAATCAGATATAACTACATCATTTCAGTAATACACAATACTAAACTCTTATTTATTCATTTAGATAAAGAAAACATGCAGTCATACAAAATCGCAGAGGTTTCATTTTTACAACAAACACGAACAATCCAATATACTCATAAATTGCACAAGCATGAACAGGTATGGAAGTAACGATAAAACAGCACCTCATAAACGTCTGTTATGATTGATATTTTAGGAAAACTGTATGCAGGATGACCAGATCACCGGTTCGAACAATCTTTGTCATTAACAAGGAACTGTAAACGGCAACACTGCACGGTACTGACGAATTTCAGTTTCTGATTGTTTTGACTTCGATATTGAGGCTTGTCTATTGTGATAACCCTATCGAAATATACTGGCAGTTATCTCTTGAGATCTGCGGACACGCTCACAGGTCTCTAAGACCGAAACTAATCCAACTTTTTTAGGTCCCTCAAGAAACACCCTTCCACGGTGTGGGTAACCGTGAAGTGATATCCGCCCTCATACCCGTAACAACACACGAAACCGAATAGGTCACAATCAAATCCTCGCTACACCCCCGAACATATCTCTCATCTCAAACACTAACCATTCTCACATTCCTTTATCACACCGCACCGCTAACGCAAACGATTGGAGTACACGAAACGTTATTCTTGGTCTCGTGAGACCCCACTCTAAACTACATGTTGGAGCTTTTAGTGTTCGAACCTTGTGTCAAGTAGGGCAACAAGCTTCATTAGCTAGGAATTTAGAATCTCGCGCCATCGATGTATTCTGCGTCTCTGAAACGTGCATACAGGGTCCGAGTAACGTCATTCATTTGACCTCACCATGTCAAAATAAAGAACCAGCTTGATTTACTCTACTCTTTTATGTAGATCTTCGAGGTAAAGAATAACTCATTATGAAGAAGGTACAGGTATTTATAAACAGCTGTCTACGCAATACACTCAAGATTCATTTGCCCGAAACGATTAACAACAACCTACTATGATGGAAAACTAAATTGCTTGCAGTTGGTGAAGGGGACTTAGAAAAGCAACTAAAAGTAAATAAAAATCACTTTATGGAAACTATTAAACTGTACCATAAAATGAGTTATAGTTTGGTATCCTCATGGCAAAAAATAAAGAGATTAAAGAATCTATCATAGTAGCTGGAAAAGAGCCTAGGACAGTTTATTGACTTATTAAATTTTATGATCTAATCTTGTGAATTAAAGATTATATTCAAAGGCCCAACAAAAGTAGAAAATTATCAAAAAGAATAATGAATTGCATTTTTTTTACAAGGTGCTTTACTTTCATGTCAACTCACATTTTGAAATGTTTGAGCTAGCCTTCCAGTATTATCAAGTTCACTTAGGAATCCATTGAAGAAACAGAATTTTGATTTTTTGTTGTTAATACGTAACTTTCCAATATCATTGAATATAACTTCGGCAAATTTTTCATGATACAAGTATTGACTTAGTGTGACACAAACACTTTGCACACAATCTTCAATTTGTTCTCTTGGAGCAGATATTTGTGAACTCAGTTCACTATAATTGAGCTGAACTAATGGGATTGATCCTTTGAAAATAAAACAACATAGTGTAAATAGATTCTTCCGGTCTAATTATTTTTAAAAAAATATTTATTAAACCAGTAACATGAAGGTTACTAATTTAATCGAATTTCATCAATAGGTAAATCCTTATGATTGAAGCGAATATTATTTCGAGGATCACTACTTTTATTACTTATGTTCCTTTCTTGCTCACATGTTTATTATGAATTAATTTTACATACATAATTTCAAAACTTCTCATGAAGAATGTTCTAAAGCAACTTCTAGATTCCGTAACGAAAGTTCTTGATTCAAAACAAGAAACGGGCTGTAGCTTAAACAGATAGCCTTCAGTCATTCAGTACGCATATCTGTTCAGGTTGCTATACCACATTAGCACAAAGACTCAATTTTCAGTTCAAATCCCATAGTAAAAGAGGTAGTAGAAGTATTAGCAGCAATCGGAGAGATTAGGGTTCGAATATATTACTCAGGAAGTGTAATTTAGTGAAATAAACTCAAAAAGATAAAGATGAAGCTGATGAGGAATCCATAAGGTTAGAAGGATTTGAGAAAACACAAAATTAAACAACATTGGAGAAAGTGAACAGCCCTGACAGACAACACTTGAAGTAACTATTTCCAACGACAGTTCTCCACAAGCTCTAACCCCATCAGTAGTGTTCGAGTAGAGAGCTTGTATGAAGTTAATGTACTTCTCTGGTACACCTTTTAGTGACAGACACTGCCACAGAACTTCACGATCAACAGAGTCAAATGCAGCCCTAAGGTCCAGAAAGACAACTATTGTCGGACGAGTAAATGTATGACTGTGTTCCAGGACCTGACGAAGTGTGAATATATGGTCTGTATATCCACGTCCATGTCATAAACCAGACTGGTCTTCTCGAGTCTTCTCTTCACGAGCTCTAGTTAAGCGTCAAAGTATTATTGAGGCTAACATTTTAGAAACCATGTTAGTTAGACTGATTCCTGTGTGATTGTCACAAGAGGACTTTTGTCCTTTCTTATAGAATGAGACAATCAGTGGTTGAGACCAGTCAGATGGGATTATGCCCGATTCCCATATTCTATTTAAGATCTCTTTCAATCTAACTGCTAAAACTGGACCACCATCCTCAAAAATCTCAGGGGCAAGCCTGTCGGGCCCTGCTGCTCTGCCTTGCTTCAGATTTCCTGTAGCTATTTCAACTTCATAGAGTCGGAGTACTTACATCAATTCGTCATTGCGATTGCCTGGAGATCGTGGACAACCGAGGTGTGACTGAAGGCCAGTTGAACTGATCCTTGAAGTGTTCTGCCCATCGATTCAATCTCCTGGATTGAGAACGAATGATACGACCATCCTTTTCTCAGACAGTTTCGCTAACAGATGGATTCCTAGCACCAGGTAGGGACAACAAAGAGGCAACTGTGAGTTGCCCTATCTTTGTGAGTTCGCACAGTCCCGTTTAGTCGGACAGCGCAAAAGCGACTCTCTACCGGGATCCAGTCAAAGAAAGCGAGTTCTGCCCTAGGACTTAATACTATACCTACACCAACGAGGCCACGGGAAGCAGCATCAGGACTTCTAGGTACATGTAGAGTAAATCAAGCTGGTTCTTTATTTTGACATGGTGAGGTCAAATGAATGACGTTACTCGGACCCTGTATGCACGTTTCAGAGACGCAGAATACATCGATGGCGCGAGATTCTAAATTCCTAGCTAATGAAGCTTGTTGCCCTACTTGACACAAGGTTCGAACACTAAAAGCTCCAACATGTAGTTTAGAGTGGGGTCTCACGAGACCAAGAATAACGTTTCGTGTACTCCAATCGTTTGCGTTAGCGGTGCGGTGTGATAAAGGAATGTGAGAATGGTTAGTGTTTGAGATGAGAGATATGTTCGGGGGTGTAGCGAGGATTTGATTGTGACCTATTCGGTTTCGTGTGTTGTTACGGGTATGAGGGCGGATATCACTTCACGGTTACCCACACCGTGGAAGGGTGTTTCTTGAGGGACCTAAAAAAGTTGGATTAGTTTCGGTCTTAGAGACCTGTGAGCGTGTCCGCAGATCTCAAGAGATAACTGCTTGGGGCTGGACACGCGCGGCTTTTTTATTAGAAGTATTTAAAATGTTAGTTCCGCTCTAGTTCGAATGGCCTTACCGCCGGGTACGGTGGCTGTGATGTTACATTACGAGAGATGACCCTTTCTAACACTTCCTTCTTTGTGAGAAGGCTGCATCGCTTCAGATGCTGGTCGTCCATGGTGAATACAATAGACAAGCCCTACTACCACCACGTCAATGCAGCAGCTACGGTCGACAGATTTGTTCTGCATCTAAATCTTTCATGGCAACTTACCTTTACTATCTGTGCAACTTCCATATGTCTTATGAAGTACAGTGAACTTATCAAGAAAGCAAGATGTGTGATTTCCTATTGAAACTTAGGTCTTCGGATTTCTTTCTGTGCAGTTTCTAGCTAATTTAATTTACACTTAAGCGTGTCGGAACGTGTTGTAAAAACACTGAGTTCTGAATAGTTTTGAGTTAGGGAAAATTAATAACAAGACACACCGAAACTATTGTAGTTAGTAGGTTTATGATCAAGACTGCAAATATTAGCGTGGGTAAAATTAGATATAGTTATCATGACAGTAACCTTTTTAACTGAAGCAACTCAAGCGACATTATTCACTAGCACAGAAATAAATATTTGGGAATAATGAAAAGATTTTAAATAAATTACCGTCAATCACATATTTCCGTTGGACAATGCCGTAAGATTGACATAGCTTCTCCGATAATAAAAAAGTTGGTCGGTGAACTTCAGCATAAACTCCGTCTTTTAACAAAAACTCCCGATGACTGAATCCGAAAGTCCCAAGGTTAGAAAACTTGACACACTGAAACATTTTTAAAAACGCTTATTCGGAAAATACCTTTTTCAGCAATAGTTTTTTTCGTAAATATGAACACAGTTCTTGCCATATTTCCTCATCTTGTTGAGCTTAAATCAAGTACACTTTATTTTACCTCTAATGCATAGTGCGACTTTATCTTCATTTGTCATTGTAACTTCAGCCTATAGGAAGTTTACGTTTAGTCTGAAAGTGCCTTGCGTTTTGGGGTGTGGGGAGCAGTGTGTGGTTATCTGCAAAAAGGAAGGAACATAAGAAAGAGTGAATCGACGACTAAGCGAGCGCAAAGAATGCACTTACATCTAAGCAATCAACAGCAATTAGGTATAACACAAGCATGACATGAAGACAAAATAATAACGATAACTAGAAAATGGTAGAGTAAAATTTCAAACGCGTCACATCCAATATCCAATATATTTTTAACGTGCTAGTATAAAACAATTGATTTCTTTATGCTTGATTCAAGACTATGAGGGTGAATATTATCACAACCTGTTGACTTTTATGTGCGTAAGGATTCAGTTTCGTTAGTCTTGAGTAAGGATTAATACGGATATCCCCTAAGACATCAGCCGGTACTGATTTGCGTAGTACTTTGAACATGTGGACACCTGGTTTAACTGACAGGTGAAGTTGGTGTTGAAGATCTCATACATCCAAAGTTTTGTGAGGTCTTCCCTATTAAGAACTTTGAAAGAACACAAAACCTGATTAGTAAGTTTTCTTTTTTATCATGGATCTAAGTCGATACTTAGGGTTTGCATGTATTTGGACAAGCAGCTTCATCTTATCCATTTGAACTTTGTTTCTGCGTCTTTTTATGAGTGCCCAGTAATAAACAAGGCTTGAACCACTCAATGAGACCTTTCACTTGTGTCAGGATCTCGTTTTCGCCTGTAGCAAGCGTTCAGTGGTGCACTTAACCAATGTTCTTCTATCTCCGGGTGTGTAGTGTCAATGGGGTACATTGTCTAGGACAGCATTGTTTGCTACTGATCATCTACTGTTAGCCTCAACCATTCCCGTGACCATGAGTCATGCAGAAGATTCTCCCTCATACTGCTTTTCGTCTAACCTGAGTATTTCGTTTACGACCGTGTGAAACAAGACTGTATCATGGTCACTACTTCCCACTGTTGTATGAACGTGAACATCCTCAACCAGGAGCTGATGATTTGCTAACGAATGATCAAGGTATGAGGATTTTCCTTCCTTTGTCCATCCAGTGGCACTGCATGCATCCTCAGTAAGACCAGATCTTTAGAATATAGTGCCACGTCGTCTTTGGAACTAGCCGGTGGGAGTTGTACCCTGATTGCTGAGACTTAGAGATGGGGTGTTGAAATCTCCATCTGTGAGCATTTGATCAAATCGAAGGAGTAGAAGTTGCAGTATTGCCTGTCGGTTTACCTTTCTAGGTCTTAGTACATGAGGAAGGCCGGTGAATCCCTCCAATCAAGTATTTCATGTCATTGGAATTAGTTACTTCATGTGTTGTCTGTCTGGTCTATATGCTCTCCGTTATCTTGTTTGCTTACGTTGCTATATACTTCTAGTTGTAAATTTATCTTCGTCTTTCTGGTTTTGAGTTGACGTTTTAGCAGGATCTACGCCTCCTGACTTAATATGTGATGATGACTTAGTTCTTTCTGGTGAAGACGCTGACTAAATGTGGAGTCTTCTGACTACCCTTAACAACAATACAAGCATGTTCGAGATGCTGATCTCACCCTCGAAATGCAAAATATTGCTTCATGTTTGGATTTCATCGGCTTTTGATAGTGATATGGCGTGAAGTAAACCGACGAAATCTCAGCACGGATACGGCAGACTCGATTGACTTCTGTTAACCAGCGTCACCTATGGCGTAGGCGAGATATCCGTTTGCTTATCAAAGGACGGCTGTACTGCACGGTAGTTCGCTCCGTCCCACTATATGGATGCGAAACATGGCAGGTGAGATTGCATGTCTTCGATCAAATCAATATACTAAGTATTGAAACTTCATCATTTGAGGTGGTTGGGACATGTGTTATGTACTCCTATCCACCGACTGCCTCGTCGAGCTATATTTTGCGATGTAGGAATAGATTGGACGAAAGCTAGGGGCAGGCAGACCAAAAGATGGCACAAATTCATGAAGTCGCTGACTATTGGACTGAGTTATATCGGTAGGTGTCGACTACCTAGTTGGAGTCCGCGAGATGATAATAATCGATGGTTAGAGACCCTGAATAACATGGCTCGAAGCCGTTTTCAGTGGCGCAGGTACATCCATTCGTTGTGTTATGTTAATTCCTTACCTCCTAGATTTGTCAACACCTCTACCTTTGTCTTTCCAAACGTATGATACTTCTTGAATATTATCTTTGAACACTTATGTTCTCCACTACTGCTGATACTCCTACTATCGGTACCACTATAGGATCTCAACTGACGGTTGCGTCTCTGTGCTGATGCGGTATAGCAGCCTGAACTGATGTACATACGCACGAAGTTCTGCGTTGTATCTGTCTCTATCTCTCTCTCACTAATTGGTAGATCAGCTTATGTCAGTGAAATGAAGCGTGAGAGTAAAACCTAGAATTTAGATTATGACACGCACGAAGTAATATGTTAGTGATCTAAGAAGGTGACAATTATAACAACAAAAAAACCGAGGGGCATGCATGAGGCATCGGTAGTCCACGGTTTATTTTGTCCACGTTGAATCTTAAATGGATGGTAAGACAGATTTTTTAGTACATATGCTGAAACTAAAGTTAGTGGAGACGGTTTACCTATCGATGCATTTCAGAACTTTTACGGCCTTTCTTTGATAATAGTCGTTTCAAGCGTTGTCTACTATATGTTCCGTTTTTCATCAGAAGCTGCTAGTAAGATACCCTCCAGTACTACAACATTAAATAAAATCGGAAAGTTTATACTGATATCATTATTTTTCTTGCCATTTTCTTTTCTAACTGTAGCTCGGTGCTTGTTGCCTTCGACAGATAGGAGGTTATGTAAATGAACTAGTATATGAACTCAGGTTCTGGCTTCCACGGTCGTGAGTTTGGCTCAGTCTGTGCTAAACGGATCGCGTAATCTATTGGAAACTGATGGAGTATTTTAGTGGAATCTTTCGATTTTCTTTTGTTAGCGACGTTAGCGTATTTTTCTAAACTGTGGTCATGCATGACAAGACTATGGATAAGGATGACTTAACATGAACCCTCTACAGTGTTCACATACAAAGGTATTGCAGCGGGAGTTAACCCAGTCACTATAGAAATCACATTCAAATTTTGAGTCTGTTGTCTTAGCTAGCAAGCAGAAGGCAAAACATTTATTGTTCCTGCGTCCTTTCTTCAGAGAGAGCTGTGTAGTTAATAAATTGGGATGTCTTTTTTATCCAGTTCCTATCAGCCTACCAGTTTTATTAGATAATAGGAATACGGGTTGCAGTGTTGTCCGGATTTCGTCGTTAGATCCTGTTGAAGTGTTAATAACAACCAAACGCTTGGAACCGTGCTGAAGAACAAGAATCACATTCAAAGAAATCAGTTGGTTTATACTAGCTGGTGAAAAAGATATTAGATATTGGACTCTTTCACTTTGCATTTTGCTCTGAAGTTCGGTATCAAGTGTTGTCTTGGACTTTTTTATACTCTCGTTTCTGAGAATGGAGATTATCACGAGGTGTCTTACAAATGTGGTGTGAGTAGTGGTGGCGGTGCTGTTAGTGTGGGTGTTACTCAACAGAATCAAGAGTAGAATATTTACTACTCAAGAACAACCTGAAAGACAATTAAACTTGCAACGCTAGCTGAGACTGTCCTTGAAAGTGACTCTGCATGATTCCAACAGCTTTTCCACTAGTAGTGTGTCTGTAAGTGAACCAATATTTGTATGTCGCTACTGAAGAGGCTAGAAGTAGAGCGGTTTATCCGGAATCATAGAGCTGATGTACAGTGGTTCAAATCTGGGATGATGATAATCCAAATTGTCATTTAAATTATCTGGATGCAAGGGAGTACAGTGTTTATATCTTCCAAAAGGAATTCGAATTCCCATATCATAGGGAAAACCAAGTATCTTTCATCATTGTTGAAAGACCAATGAAGTCACGTCAGTCTCAGTGATGTGATTCATTAAATCATGATATATACATGTTAGAAAACAAGAGTACAGAAGACAATGAATTGAAAGCAGTATGTGGCTACGTGCTAAGGCTAAGAGAATCCTTGCAACTAATAATCTAGCTTATCTTAAACTACAACTAAAATATTGTACACAGGACGTTTGTTTTGTACGGCCTTTGTTCTGTGCGTAATTCTGAAAACGTTTCCAACGACGCCTTAATGTGTCCTGTGAATTAAAAATGAGCGTCGGTAATAAGAAGCAGCCTCACATCTCGAGCTCGTAAGAAAGCGATTTTTTGAGTTGAAACTGCACATGTGTAGCCATTGTTTAAATGTAAATGTTTATCAGGGAACTGAAAATGTTTTTCTTTATAAAATTTCTTTTCTCTCAGTGGTTATTTACTGTGATTTTACGAAGCAGGAATAACATAAAGCTACTGGTTGGTATTCATAATATATCTTAGAACATAAAATTGTGGTTTATTTCTACTTTTCTAAGTTTTGATAGGACTTGGTATTTGATGTTAATTTTCCTTCGGTTTCAGCCACCATGTAAAGTACACTAAGTCACGCATCATGCTCAACAATGATTAATTATATTGCATTGGTCTATCTGATCGTTTTTATATCACTGATTCGGGTTGAATTTGAGAAACAAGGGTCCCGTAACTTCATGATTGCAGTACCCAATAAAGAAATATACAGATTATTACGTTTTATGTTGACTTTATTTACCATTTCTGCAATATTTACATCAATTGTTTCAATGAAGCTCGATATGTAACCACTTTTGATGCTAAGACTCAAACACAGTTAGCTAACCTACTAACCAGGACCTAACTAAAATTGTAAGAACGTTGTTTTATTATGCAAATGGGTGATATGGATCTTGAATAAACTGTCTACGGTTCACTCCTAAAGTGTTCTTCTGCCGTTCATAGCGGTCGTTGAAGTCAAACGGAATTCATTGGCATATTTATATGCCGTTTGTCGCGGTTGACCTACTATTTTTAACATGTAATGAGGAAATTTATTTTTAAAGAAGTTGCTCTGGGTTTCAAGATTTATATTGGTGGAGATATGAATTCTTCATAATTTTGTTCAGTGGATAAGCTGATAACATTTTTTTAGAAGCGTTCAAGTTATCTGTTTTACCACTGAAGATACGCAACCTTATCCTCAGTTTTACCGTTGGTTTAATTAAGCCATTTTCAGATATATTTTATAAACTTATGTGCTAGCATATTTGACATTAATGCGAAAATTCGATTTTAAGTATGATTTTACAAATAAATATCCTGTTTTATTAAACAATCATCAGTATTAACATAATAAAGAGGATTAGGTACTGAACGTCACTAAACATTAATCAAAATGCAATACAGACATGTACTGCAGAAATATCAATCACTTAGGAAAGTCCTTATTGTGTTTTTGTGCAGTGGTGAGTCAGCGTCTTCTTAAAGCTGTTAAATGATGAATATGTAGTTGGTTGTAAAACCCGTTATCTATTTTATCTAAAGTATTTGATGGTAAATCGGAAGGTCCTAAATAGTTAAAACATTTGTTAAGGAATTTGAAGTAGTGGTTTTCATGTTATAGTTGTCTAAAGTTGATGATGAATATTTCAAAACCGTTCGAAGTGGTGCAGTTTCATCCATTGTTTGTGCTCTCCCGAACTCTAATCTGAATTCCTAATGACCGTTTTTCTCTTTTTGACTGATTTCTCTGGGATATACATCTCGAATGATATATTCGATCATTATTTTCTTTGTTTACTGCCAATACTTTTAGTAATTATACTGCTATCGGATTTGACTTGGCAAATTGAACTGATGTACGTACGTACAAAGTCCTACATTGTAACTGACTGACTGAATTTGTTAGAAGTAAAACGATGTTTGTAGTAATCAGGTTCATCTATCTAGGGTCATTAAAGTGCAGAAAAGTACGAAAACATACAAAGAGCACCTTGGTTTCAAAACCTGAGCTTAAAAAGTTTTCGTAGTATCTATAGAAACAAGCGCTTGTGATCCCAATGTTTTTAAGCCGTTTTGAAAATATTGAAGTATATTGTTAAGAAACAGCCTTGTTTTAAACAATACCCATTGAAGTAATTGATAGTGGCAAGTCTTAACACATGTTTGGTTGTTACATCATTTTTATTCAGGATATTCATGTATTGTGCGTCGAGTTTATTGTTATTACTGTGGGTTCGAATTATATTAACTATTAAGGGTCTTTCAGTTGCAGTGTTCTAGAGAACCAGTGTCCCACCTTCTGTCCAAAATACAATCGGAGGTTCGTGTAGAGTATGTAATTGTGAAGATTCGTATTAGTTTCTGAGGTATTGCTTACTAATTTAATGTTTGAAAACTTGTGTTTAACGTGATTTTCTGCACTAAAAACTTCCAAAGTTTTGTTTTACAGTCTTCACTTGCTGTCTTACATATTTACAGTTTGTAGTTTCTATATTTTGATTTAAACTTCCGTCACAGTCTGGAAAATATTGACGGTTCTAACTGTTCATTATTGATTAGTCAATAAAATTCAAAAGTTCCTAATTTCAGTTTACCCTTAGTCAACCGGATATAAATAGCTTAAATTTTAAATGGCTTCATTGTTCGGTCATAAATATAATTATTATAAAGGAGAAATGTATCTAATAACAAATAAAATTATAAGCGTAATTTAGCGGACAGCACATACTTTGGTGTTTATCGAAGCATTGTTACATAGCATCCAAGTTGTTAACATTGTATATGTTGCTTTCTCCATCTCGGTACATACAACGTTTGAAACGGTGGTATATGAGTCTCACTTTGGTCATCAATCGTACTGGATTACATAAAATAGCATCCTTGATTATAGGTGCGTAGTTTGCGAACTCCATTCGATTACTCTGTGATATCAGTAAAGTTTGTTAGGAAACTGCCTTTGCTTCATGTATAAAGTATCTGAAGCATTTGTGTCTCCTTATTACAGTTCTTATCAGTCAATCAGTCAGATGCAACGTAGAACTTCGTACGTAAATACATCAGTTCATGTTGCCATACCACATCAGCTTACTTACTTACTTACTTTCGCCTGTTACTCCCAATGGAGCATAGGCCGCCCACCAGTTTTCTCCAACCAACTCTGTCCTGGGCTTCCCTCTCCAGTTCTGTCCAATGTTTGTTCATTCCTCTCATATCTTTCTCTATTTCTCGGCGTAGTGTGTTCCTTGGCCTTCCTCTTTTCCTTTTGCCTTCAGGGTTCCATGTGAGGGCTTGTCTAGTGACGCAGTTAGGTGCTTTTCGTAGTGTATGTCCTATCCATTTCTACCGCTTCTTCCTGATTTCCTCCTCCATTGGAATCTGACTTGTTCTCTCCCACAGTTCGTTGTTGCTGATGGTGTCTGGCCAACGAATACGAAGTATTTTGCGTAGACAACTGTTAATAAACACTTGTATCTTCTGGATGATGGCTTTGGTAGTTCTCCATGTTTCCGCTCCATACAGTAGAACTGTCTTGACATTTGTATAGAAAATCCTGATTTTGGTTTTGGTTGAAAGTTGTTTGGAGTTCCAGATATTTTTCAACTGTAGAAATGCAGCCCTCGCTTTGCCAATCCGCGCCCTCACATCTGCATCCGATCCACCTCTCTCGTCGATGATGCTGCCAAGATATGTGAAGGTGTTAACGTCCTCCAAGGTATCTCCATCAAGCGTGATTTGGTTGGTGCATGTTGTGTTGCATCGGAGAATTTTGCTTTTTCCTTTATGTATGTTGAGACCTACTGCTGCAGAGGCTGCTGCTACACTGGTCGTCTTCTCTTGCATTTGTTGTTGAGTGTGCGATAGAAGAGCCAGGTCATCTGCGAAGTCCAGATCGTCCAGCTGCGTCCTAACTGTCCAGTTGATACCGTGCTTCCCTCCAGATGTTGACGTCTTCATAATTCAGTCGATGACCAGGAGAAAGAGAAAGGGTGAGAGTAAGCAACCTTGCCTGACACCGGTCTTCACCTCAAAAGAGTCTGTCAGCTGACCTCCGTGTACGATTTTGCAGTTGAATCCATCATAAGAATTCCGTATGATGTTGACTATTTTCTCAGGCACACCGTAGTGTCGAAGAAGCCTCCACAGTGTTTTCCTATCCACGCTATCGAATGCTTTCTCGTAGTCGATGAAGTTGATGTAGAGTGGTGAGTTCCATTCAATTGATTGTTCCACAATGATCCTTAATGTAGCAATTTGGTCAGTACACGATCGATCCTTACGAAATGCACCCTGTTGATCTCGAAGTTGGGCATCTACGAAGTCCTTCATTCTGTTTAACAATACTCTGTAGAAGACTTTGCCTGGTATTGAAAGAAGAGTGATGCCTCTGTAGTTCTCACACTTGCTGAGATCGCCTTTCTTTGGTATTTTGATGAGGTATCCTTCTTTCCAATCTGATGGTACTTGTTCCTCATCCCAAATCTTCTTGAAGAGAATGTGAAATATTTTCGCAGTTGCTTCCACATCTGCTTTCATTGCCTCTGCTGGAATGTTGTCTGGTCCTGCTGCTTTGCCGCTCTTGATTTGTCTGATGGCTATACTGATCTCCTCAATCGTAGGTGCGCCAATATTAATTGGGAGGTCCGTGGATGCTGCTTCGATGTTGGGTGGGTTCAGTGGAGCTGGTCGATTCAATAGTTCCTTAAAGTGCTCTACCCACCTATTTCGCTGTTCGTCAGTGTTGCTGATTATTTTCCCTTCCTTGCTTTTCACTGGTCGTTCTGGTTTACGATAGTTTCCGGCGAGCTTCTTTGTAGTTTCGTACAATTGTCTCATGTTTCCTTCTCTTGCAGCCTTTTCCGCCGTCATTGCTAGATAATCCACATATTTTCGTTTGTCAGCTCTGATGCTCTTCTTCACTTCCCTGTTTGCTTCTGTATACTCGGCTTGCGCCTTAACTTTCTCTGCTCTTGTTCGGCAGACATTGATAGCTGCCTTCTTGTTCCTCCTTTCTTGAATTTTTTCAAGAGTACCAACAGAGATCCATTCCTTGTGATGGTGCTTCTTGCGACCAAGGACCTCCTGACATATTGAAGTGATTGCCTCCTTAATCCCTTTCCAATTGTTCTCCAATGTTGCTTCCTCTCCATTGAGTAGATCCTGAAAGGCCTGGAACCTATTGGTGAGGGCTATCTTGAATTCGTTGAGTTTTACGGTATCCCGCAGAAAGGCCGTATTAAACTTCTGTGATGTTGTCTGCCCCGCTGTCCAGTGCTTCTTTAGCTTCAATCTCATTTTGGCG